CCTCAACAATATAGAACTCTTCCACAACTTAGATAAAAATTTTGAGGCAAAATACCCAAGAAATGACAAAATGAATTCGCCTCAACCATTTAGAACTGACCAAACCACAACCCTTGATTAGTATTTGATAGCCAACACCACGACAGATAGGAACCTACTCGGTGCAAAACAGTGGGCCTCATCGGAACCATCCTTACAGTCCCTGGTTCCATCGCATTTCTGATCCCCGTAATATTTTCCATCGCCGTGTTCGCACGAGAAAACATCGTCCGCCCTAATGGGTTCCTCCGGCTCCTCACCATCCCCACTGCCGAATTCCGGCGTGGGCGTGGTTGTGGTGGGGGTGGTGGTGCTGGTGGTGGTAGTGGTGGTGGTGGGGATGGTGGTAAAAAGGCTGCTGGTTGCTAAGGGAACGGTGACGGTTTCGAACGCGGGTTCTGCGTTCATTCATTCAAAGTGGACGAGGTTCCAAGTAAGAAAACATAAAATAAACAAAAAACAAACCGTACCTAGCGCAGGGGTGAAGGTGGGGGTGGGGCAACCTTCCTCGTCCGATTTGTCATTACAGTCCCTAACTCCATTGCAACGAGCATCCCCCCTTACGCATTGCCTGCTAAGGCACATTACCTGGCCTTCTTCGCACTTGGGCTGTTCTTCTACATAGGAAAATTGAAAAAACCCAAATAAACCAAAAGGAACTAAAAAACTGGATGGCCCCTGTATGGTCCCTTCAGAGGACTCTGAAAGCGACGGAACAAAGTACCTTCAAAGGAAGTGAAAACGAAGTCCTCAGGAGAAACAGTCACTTCGCCCAACTTGCGATTATCCTGGATCTTGTCGTAGATGAATTTGTTGATGCCATCGTTGTCTGTCCATCCCTTGGACTCCAAGTCAATTGTAGCCCGCACGTTGAACAGATCGTCCTTCTTCTGCCTGTAAACATTAACAACTTGCCTCAAAGGGCCCACTTTCGCAAAATACTCACTCAATCGAGATCACTGTTGCTATTTGCTCGCCCGGTTTGCCTTGGAACAGTTCCTGCACTCCGGCCTCAAGTTTGGAGGCGAGCTGATGGAAGGCTTCGCTGATCCTATCATGGAACTCATCGGCGTAGTATTCTTCCACTGTCACGATTATTCTGTAGTATTCTAGAAGGACAAAGAACATTTCGGTAAGAGGTAAGATTGAAGAATTGGGCCTGAAGATTGAAGTCTTCCAGTTTTTCGCAGCTGAAACTGAACAGGAACTGGAAGAATGTGAATGAGATTGAGGTAGAGTCAAGACTGACACTGTGAGTCAAACTAGTTGAACTAAGGATGGAAAAGATGAGCCTTAACTAGATTGATCAGAAGATGATAGCGAGGAAGAGGTGAGTGAAGTCCAAAGAAGAAGAAACTGGAGTTTCTTATATATATAAACAGTTTAATGCATAAGAAACGCATCTGAGGGTAAAGCTTCAATCTTCCGAGGTTCTCACTAGAGCTCTGACGATCAATGAGAGCCTCTGGTCATTCTTCTTGACTTAAAATAGTAGAAAGCTTTTGCCAAATGTAGCTATCGTCTGTTATAGTCCAACATCCAAGTGCCACTTCAGAACGCTTTCTGAAGCCTTCTAAAGCGCTGGACTGAAGAATTCCGATTGTCTCAACAAATTATTGGAAAAGTCTGCTGTTTTGAAAATTTGCGGTTATTTTAAAAGCATCGTATAGCTTGAAGATGCAACCTCAGAACGGTTTTGCGGGACAATCAGCCTCTTGAGCCTCGCAATTGAAGCCTCTAAAGTCGTTAACAGCGCGTTAGAAGCGTTTCTACCGATAAACTAGATGAAAGTTTTTGGAGTGTATAGAAAACGTACTTTCAGAACCTCAAAAACCGAGTCTTAAGCAAGTAACAACCGTGTGAAGCTTCTGAAGACACTGCTTGGGTTCTTGAAGCTCATAACAGTTTTGAGAGACAAACAGCCCCTGGAAACTCATTTGAAGAAAAAACAGAAAAAGGCTCCTGCGAGGACATCGACCAAGGCCTCAAAAACCGAGTGTTAAGCACGTATAAAAGCGTTCTGAAGCTTTTTAAAACACGGCTGGGGTCTTTGAAGCTCTGAAACGCGCGCTATGAATATTTTCGGTTCTGTTGAAGAATCCGCATGTTTTAAGAGAAATCGTTCTGAACCTTAAGTTGGGAGCTCAGAACAGTTTTGGGAAACAAACACTCTCTTCAGTCTCATCTGAAGCTTCTAAAGACTGTTATTAAAAAATTGTGTCTACGATCGCGTGTCTCAAAGGCTTCAGAAGCTCACAACCTCAAAACGCAACATCGAAACGGTGTTGCGAAGCTAACAGTTTCTTGAGCCTCATTCGAGGCCTCGAAAAACCAGGAAAAAAATATGGGAAAAGCTTCCGAAAATAGGTCCCTAGCCTTCCTAGAAAAGCCTTCTGAACCTTCTGAAGACAGCGCTTGGATACTTAAAGCTTTGGAACTAGCACTTTGACGATCTGCGGCCGTTTCAAAGACTTTTGAAGCTGAAAAAACCGAGTCTTATGCAAGTTACAACTATGTGAAGCTTCTGAAGCCACTGCTTGGGTTCTTGAAGCTCATAACAATTTTGAGAGACAAACAGCCCCTGGAAACTCATTTCAAGCCTCTAAAGACAGCCCTTAACACAACCTTAGAGCCTGTGTGCCTTTACGCGTCTTTAGTGATAAAAAAACAGAAAAAGGCTCTTGCGAGGACATCGACCAAAGCCTCAAAAACCGAGTGTTAAGCACGTAAAAGCGTTCTGAAGCTTTTTAAAACACGGCTGGGGTCTTTGAAGCTCTGAAACGCGCGCTTTGAATATTTTCGGTTGTGTTGAAGAATCCGCGTGTTTTAAGAGAAATCGTTCTGAGCCTTAAGTTGGGAGCTCAGAACAGTTTTGGGAAGCAAACACTCTCTTCAGTCTCATCTGAAGCTTCTAAAGACAGTCATTAAAAAATTGTGTCTACGATCGCGTGTCTCAAAGGCTTCAGGAGCTCACAAACTCAAAACGCAACATCAAAACGGTGTTGCGAAGCTAACAGTTTCTTGAGCCTCATTTGAGGCCTCGAAAAACCAGGAAAAAAATATGGGAAAAGCTTCTGAAAAGCTGGCCTTCCTAGAAAAGCCTTTTGAACCTTCTGAAGACAAGGCTTGGATACTTAAAACTTTAGCACTAGCACTTTGACGATCTACAGCCGTTTGAAAGACTTCTGAAGCTGAAACGCTGAAAACGAGGTCTCAGGAGGGTTTTTGGGAGCAAATCCTCCGAAAAAAAGAGTCCTTCCGAAGCTTAAAGCTTCAAGTTGCAAACTGAGATCGCCTTTGTTGACATTAACGGCGTAACATCAACGTTTCTCTAAAACTCGCTTAATAAACCTAGAAAGGAAAACTTACTGGGATGAGCACTGGGCAGCACGGCTTGGACTAGAGGGGACCCTGTTGATTCCACTGGAGAGAATCCAACTGGAACAGTGGAAATTTCTCCGGATCCATCCATGCCCGAGCCCAAGCCATCTTCATCGTCCAGCCTATAAGGAAGGATTTTTTCAGCATATTTGGATGTTTTTTTGCAGCCGAACTTACCCAGGTCCTTCATCCAGGCGGTTCTAAAAAACACAAAAATCCATTAGTGAATGGAGCAAAAAACAGTGAAAAATTGTCTGGTATTAGAAAAGCCAATGGTAACTGGTATTAATACAATTATTAGGGTAAACTGGTGAGTTGCTTGTAACCAAGTTGCATGCTGATTAGTACAGACAGAAAAGAACCACCGAAGAATAAACCCAGATTTCTGATCTTTGAGCCAAATGAACGACCCTGAAATGTTGCGATGTTTGCCCTCAAAGTTAACACCAATAGTCGAGGTCGCAGTAATGAGCATTCCACAATAGTTGGACAACAAGAAAACTTACTGCGTGGCTCAGATTGAGCGCCCCCACTCCATCGAAATCCCCGAAGGGCTAACAAAGGTGGAAAAGTTACAATTTTGATAATTTTCGTGTTACACACACTTACATCGTCAAACTCATCATTTTTATCCTCGTATTGTCCCTAGAATGCCAATTAAGGGGGTTTAGCGAAATTTAGCGGCCAAAAATGGCAAGAACTTACATTTTCCGTGTCGTAATCGTCTTCGACCTGCCCCTAGGAAAGTGAAAACCTTAATGAAAATCGAAAGAAATTTTGACGGGAAAACAACTAAAAATGTGCAGCGCAACACCGATATCTACAACATCAAGGAAGACTTACGTCGGGTATAACCGGACCGGGTTCGTAATACAAATCTTCTAAATCCTAGAATTGAATTCAACACGCGCATTACCAGAAAGAAATGAAAATTAACGATTAATATCACAGCCGAAGTTGGTTAATATCAGAACCTCAAGTCGGTTAATCATTAACTGAATGGAAACCAAAACTATTAGTAAATGCAGCCGAAGGCTGCGCCAACACTTACTTCTTCTTCGTCCTCATCGTTGATCTACAAAGGTGAAAACGTTCAAAGTTAGCTAACATTCAGCGAAGAGATTTATGTGGAAATGTTGCCCGGATAACTTACATCAAAGTTGGACTGTCTGCTGTTCCTGATTAGATTCGGATGGACGGCCGCAGTGTCTTCAGTCTTCTGGTGGCCTTTGGCTAGTCTCTCGTGGCCCTTATGGTGCTTTTCTTCGGGCGAAAACATGTTGCCTGCAAATCCCACGATTTTAATCTTTATATTGTTGAGGCGGATTCATTTTTTACCAACTTCTTTTTGGGTATTTTGGGTATATTATTTTTATTAAGACAGAATTTCCTCACGTCTTTTATTACAGATTGATAAATAGTGCTCCTATTTCGCAATAAAATTTTGAATCAACTTTCATTAATAATTACAAATTTAAACCAATAATTTGGTGGCGTTATATTGATGACGTATTCTCCATTTACAGCCATGGCGAACAAAAACTTGATGAATTTT